CCTGCTATCAAAAGATAACAGAAGGTGAAGATCCTTGTTGATGTCCTGAAGTTAGTTGACTTCTCAATCGAAAGATGACCTGCGCCACAGTACAGGCCGAAGAAGTGATCGTTATTTTTAATGTGAATGGAGAACATGCTCCGTATCATACACTAATCCTCCTCTAACTCTTCTCCTGTCTTCCTCTGATTGGCACCAATGATCGGTGAAAATTTTGTCGGCACCTCCCTTAGGCAGGGTAGACCGTCAAAGTTTTCTCCAAGCCAGTTTTTAAGGAACTCTAAATTTCCTGAAATTTTGGCAGCACTTCCCCTAGGGACGTGGACTCCAAAGATTTACATGAAACCACCACTACCTTTCCAAGTTATAGTCCCATTTGGGAAAATGACCTCATGAGAAAAGTTCGGGGGTCCGGTGTAGGGTCGGTAGAAAAGGAAAAAAAAAGAATACACTGGGACCTTGCCGGCCCTCGGTGAGGAAAAAAATAAAAATAAAAACTAAGAACTGCGAGTGTTTGACCCCTCGGCATATGACCCTGCAACAGGCACGTGCCCGCTCTAAGTGAAGGCGCCCCCCCCTAAATCTGAATGCGCCCAAAACTCGTCAATTTTTGCAAATCTTGGTCGGCGCCAGACAGTTGCTACACGCCAGTTGGTTACATCTGCCCTGCACGTGAAAATGGGAAAGATTCGTGAGCCTTCCAGGCCATTCTAGCAACGTGGAATATGTGCCTGGGTGGTTGGACATGCCTAACCAAATCGGTCCCAGGCCACTGTCTGAACTGGCCTGGGTGCAGACACCTTGGCCGAGACTGAAGCTACTGGGCACTCGGTCTCACGTGGTCGTGGCAAGGCAAAGCGCCCGACACTTTCTATATAGGAAAGGCCCGGGCGTCAGGGCAGACATTTGGGCACTTGCAAGTTGCAGGCTGGAGCATCTGCTCGCAGGCTGCTAGTTGCGCTAGTGCAAGCGCGCTCGCACGCGGGTGTTGAGAGGTGCAGGGCGCTGCTGAGGGCAGCGCCATAGCCCAGCCCTCCATAGTCGGGCTTCGGGTTTGGACTGTTAGCGGGTGGTGGTGGTCTTCGTGTATGAGGAAGAAGGTGCGGGTAGAGAAGACGAGAGAGAGAGAGAGAGAGAGAGAGAGAGAGAGAGAGAGAGAGAGAGAGAGAGAGAGAGAGAGAGAGAGAGAGAGAGAGATGAGGATGATGATGTGAGGGCACATACCTGGTCTTGGCGATTGTCTGCAAGGGTCGACATCTTCATGTACTTCGGTTCGGCTGCTGACATCAACAGTTGCATTGTCAATTTGTAGGCTGGTAGTAGCTGCGTGATTGTAGTATGGGCGCCGAACGCCAGATAGGAGGAAGGGCTCTGGATACTTACGTTGGTGATGGCGAGAGTATGCTCTCATTGACCCTCGGATTCAATGTTTTGGTTCCCAATTGGTGTAATATTGGTGCAATTCTGCTTTCTGGACAGTGTCGGACTACTTGGCTTTCAATGTGATTTCGCAATCTGGAATCTGTCATTTCGCTATTGCTCATTTTCCTTGCAATGCGTGTACTAATCCCAATAGGTTGGCATGGTGTGCTTTGTCCAAAGCTCTTCAGAGGCACGCTCGTCTTCCACCAGCTTGCTTCCAGGAAGAATGTCGACCATCAAGGTTGAGTGCTTGCTACACCTCACAATGAGAGGACTCTCAAGACATAACTCACTTCCTCATAGTAAGAAGTAATGAAGCCGGTAGATAAGGTCAGGAGCAACGTAGCTCATAGTGTTGCCCCCAACCACAGATTTCTCACCAATAATATGACGTGCATTTATGATGACCGGTCGACGCCTCGGCAGAACCCACAATGCAATGCAGTTCCACCTCGACTTAAATTGCCACGTCAGCAAGCTCTCATCATCCAACATGCACCCCTATGTCGCCACATAGCCTTTGTGGCATGCCCACACGACCTTGGGCCGCCTCTCGCCGACGCACAAGCGTTATCACTTCCCTCACCATTATCCAGTGAAGCACCAAACAGCTATTGCGAAGGCCGCCAGTGGAGCACCGTCTATAAATATTTACGGCGGATCCGACTTGAATCCTGGTTGTGATCGTCGTCCTGTCTGCGGCGTTAAATAATTCCTAAGGACCTTGGGGGTTGTCCTTAAACTACCTCTTCATCAGCCAGATCAACCGGATGTAAGGCTCGTTGCACGCGAGGATAAAGAAGGGGCAGGAGTGGTCATAGACGATTTCCTGGGCGCAGGGGTGGGCCGATTTCACACCTTCAGACATGTTGCTGAACCAGAGCTTCAGGACGTCGACATCAAGTGACTACTCAAGAGGGATAAAAGGGGAGGGAGGATACCAAAGCGGCTATGGCTGCTCCAGCTCAGGCTGCTTTGGGTTGTCCTTTGGACATCGGAGCAAGGCCTAGTAGTCCGCCATAGCCTCGGCCTATGGGTGTGAAGAGTGGGAGAGGCGGCCATGG